GCGGCATGCACCGTAAGCCAGCTATCTTCTTACTGAAATCCTCCAACGGTATGCTTTTTTGTCGGGGTTTCCTGGAAGTCATCAGCTTTCACAATGTCCACGTGATTATAATCCCCGGTCGGCGTGCGTTTAACCAGTTGGAACAGGAGCTGCATTAGCCGCTCGGTAACTGTGGCGACCAAATGCGGTGTCCCAGCTGATTTTGAATCAGTACGCGCTGGATTTTCGGACGTGCGGACGCCATCCATCGCCCTCTGACACGTTTTTCTTAGTCAGACTTTATCGCATCATGCGAGATGTTGCGAACACCTACCACGGCGTGGCTTCGAAGCTTCTGCTGTCCTCCTTTGCTTTTGCTTGCTCGCCGATGGCTTACCTTGCCTCTTGATAGCATCATCCTGTCGCAGGGATAGACGTGAGTGGGCTATCCTTTCAGGGCCTTTGTTCGATACGCTATCTGATCTGAATAAATGTCTGCCTTTTCTCGGCGTTTTTGTTGGCCTTGTACGCGACCGTCGCTTTGCAATGCTGACAGCCAATGAACCGAATTTTAAATGGCTGTGTTTCCTGTAAATGCGAACGTTGCCATTCCTGAGGGCATGTTTCTCTCGTAACAAGTTCTGTTCAAAACGCGTCACATCTTAATATCCCAAGCGTAGGAATTTAAAGAGCCAGAAGTGGAATTCTTCCTTCCTCACAGGTTTGTATACTTAAGCACATGAAATGCCTTTACGTCCTTCATTTTTCATTTCTTTAGCTGTGGTAGCTATTTTTACACCCAACTTCTTTTCCAATAACATGCTTGTATTGAAGAGATACTGGACTTTCCATTCACCAAAGACAAACGATCGATCAAAATAAATATACAGATCAAATGACCAATGGATCAACCTCACATTAGATATCACCTTACACAGCTCACCAAACATGGGAGGCATTCATAATGTCCAAGTGTACAATGTCCCAAGCACGAGTAAATCAAGGTATGTCCAAAGTACGGGATATCCTACTTACGTAATGTTCAAAGTATAGAATGCCCAAATAATGGAACGTCAAGTTTCCAGAGAGGCCGCCAGGGAATAATCGACCTTATTGACAGGTAGCGTTGCCGCGTCCACCTTCGGCCGCGTGCATACAGTCGACACTATTACGAAGACTAGGCGTGTGGGACTGGCTAATCGTATTGCTAGCATAGCAACGAATCCATTTGCCGCGCCAAGACACGATAGGGCCGGGTGGAAGCGTGGCACCGGTATTGGCCACTTGCCAAGGCTGAGCCCAGTGGCGCGTCCCTGTACTCTGGGTCACTCAAGCGAACATGCGGAGCAGGCCACGGGATGGAATTGTGGCTACGTTAGGCGTGAAGGGAAAATTGTTAAATTCGACACAATAGCGTTCAGCTTTTCTGGACATTGGTTTTGACTGCACGATTCACAGTGTCATACAGATATATGTACGGGAAATATTCTAGAATATTTTGGGGCATCATACACCAGCGGCGTGCTCACTATGGGTTGGTTTTCAGCAATAACAAGCCAGCTTCCGAAAGTGGTCCTGGTTGCCAGTGAATATAGCTCAGTTGAATATAGTTCTATAAAGTATATAGTGTCTTGGAAACATGTCATATCCAGCACGTGCTAAGAGCTCCCCGACACACAGCCGGTTGGATTTCAAGGTTTAGATGACCGGCAGTAGGTGTAAGGCCAGAAAGGCGTACTGTTACCGAAGATTGGTGTTAAAGCCAATGACTTGAACGCCATTTCCAAATGTACCTTGCCTGAGAAATGCCGTTCATGTAGCGTCCCAAGACGATGCTCACGTGTTCCCTTAGCCTCGAACAAAGTTACCGGTTGTGTGCGGCGATTTTCACATCTTTAGATCCGTGTTGCCGGCAGAATGCGTACCTTATAGTTGGTGTTCCTTCTACAATGATGAAATCTCTGAAGCTATGCATGCGATGCGACTGCTCAATTCGACGATACGTTTACTTGACGTGTTTGCCTGCTGTGCTTTCTCCTAACGGTGTGCACACTCCCCGTAAACTGCATTATCAGGTGTTCAATGCACCGGTCTGGAACGTTGCGTTTTGACTATACCACATCAGACGTTCCTGGACAAATATTACAACAGATCTAATGTCGTGAATTGTGTTTTTTTTCTTGTCAGCTATTGATGTATGCGTGACTGAGTTTTACCTCCGGAGGAACACTAGGATTTCCTGATCGGATCAACTAGAATTAGATTTTAACATGAACGACTGGTCACGCTTCTCTGGGGTCGTCCAAAATGTTTGCAATTATTCCTGCGTGTAAACGCTCAGAGACATCCACCCGTTTGCACAGTACGTTGTCTGTAAACATGTTCAACATATGAAGGATGAGCTTGCATCACCTTTTAATGGTTTCTTTTTGGCACTGAATATGAATTACATCGAGGACGCGCAGCACCGCCTGGACGGTGGGATCGGGTTTAAACGCAGTCACGTAACCGAGGCTGGTCACGTGACATCATGTCCACTTTAACTGAACATGGTGAGCTGCTATGCGAAGAGGATTTGTCAGCGACATCTCCGTTATTGGAGGGTGCTGACGATATACTTGTGTTCGCAGAGCCAGAACCATGGTTTAGAAAGACAAAAATTGTTCTCTGGCTGAGACTGATAACGCATACTGCCAGTATACCTATTGGCATTTCAGTTTTTCGGGGATTTCAGTACCAAAAGCGCGCCCACCATGTGTTTGTGTTTAGTGCGTTGCAAGTCAACGATTGCTGTCCAGCACTGGCGCACTGCGTTCGTATTTTCACGAACGGCACGTCGCCGCTAAGCACAATGCTTCACAACACTGCAGGTGGAACAATGGTCTTCCTGGCGTCTCAGTGCCGTCTTAAATTGCACGGTTTGTCGAATCCCGCCGTCTAGAACAGTATTTCAGCCTCAGTTTGCTGCAAATATACTGGAGAAAGCTGCTTTATTCGACTTGTCAGCATGTTGATATCTCCCGTGTATTTCAGCACGGCCTTCGGAGGAAGCGGGGACGCGAGGCGTGTTAGGGCCATGTGAAGTGGAGCTGCACTTCGTGAGTAGAAATGGTATTTATTGAAAGGGATCCAACAAAACTCTTGCGCCTTTCAAGTCAACAATATGTGCTCCCCGAAAGAAATTTTCAAACGCTATGTACTTAGATGTGACGGTTTTATTTGTAAGAAAGTATTTGAGATCTTCTCGGTTTATTTTTTGGCCGTGGCCTTTGAGGATTTCTGTTTTAGTTAATCATGTCTATCACTCAGAATGGGGATTACAGTCGCTTGAATTGAATTGTAAACAAAGCAGATACGTGCTCGAGAAAGGCAAATAGGAAGGTGGTGGTAGCAGGTAAAGGTAGTGGCACTATCTATGTTAAGGTTGGGTAGTGGTGGTATTGTGTATAAGGTAGTGGTGGTGTTTGCGTAGGTGGGTTGTTTTGTACCCAGGTGAGGTAGATTTTTTTCTAGTAACACAGCACTTCACAATGAAGTAACAGTAACAGCACAGTATTGGTTGGATTTGATAGAGCATGCTTATCTTACGCAATCTAGCTCATAGAGAAAACCAGCTTGCGAACTGATAAAAGAGAAAATCATTAACCAAGTTATTTTGGCTTTCGCGCTGATTTTGTTTTTCTTTGATTCCCATCTAAGAAAACATCAGGAAGGAATTCATTTGGTCTTTGTGTTGACTGTGTGATTTAAACGAACGTTTTTCAGTAGAGGCAAGGATTTTATTCATGGTTGATATTCACTTTGGATATGAAATGATCGATTAATTTGCAACTAATTAGTAACTGATTTGATTTATGATTGTTTTAACAAAGGCATCTTCATTCAAATACAGGTCCGTAAGGTACAGTTGAATTATATTTTTGAGAAATTTCCCTGCAGTTTCAAGATCGTGGTGTTGAGCTGCCTGGAGCTAGTTGTGATAACAATATCCGTGTGATTTTTAGATAGCTCAATATACGTAACTATGCTTTAGATTCAGGGTGGTGATGGGAGGGGATCATGGTTGGACTAATCTAACTAGAATCTAGGGATTAGAACCTGATTGAGAAAACGTCATTTTGGATGTGCAAATACGAAAAATGCTTATTATACAGGCAAAACTTGATAGAACAATAATGTATGTGGGCAAATTGGGGTGGGCATGCGCCCAACTCCCAGGTCCAGGGGTTTTACCAATAGCACAGCTTTTACCGTTGCATCTAGTGTTCAGTCCATTTCCTTGCAGGTTCTCTCTGTCATCTATCTATGCTAGTCTAGCTTTTGGTAGGTACATTATTTGGGGATGCATCCATAGCTGTCTGAAGGTGCAACATTAGTCTGACTTGGGGATCGACATCTTGTTCACTAATCTGTGCTATGGGTTTGTTTACCAAGGTGACGGGGACATAGACTCCCTGGGATGTGCAAGTAATGTTGTCAATTCTTTTGGAACTATTTCAGATAGGTGACATACGTCGGTGTTATTTTTCAGGATATGACGCTTTACCTCGTGACTGTCGGTCACGCCTGCACCCGGAATCTTACGAACCAGCAGCATGCACCGTTGCCAACCGAGCTGCATCGACGTCGCCTAATCAAATATGACTCTTTGTATAGGGTTGGAAGATTTACTGGGGGAGTAGGAGATTGGACTACCTTCTTGAAATTCTTCTTTCATATCTACCCTTGAAATATGAGTATCTGCTCATCATCAGAAAATGGTCTCATATTTGTATTCTGGACTTCGCGAATATCATATTGACATTTGCTCTCGAAGAGGTTGGATTGACGATGCCCCGTTTAGATGTGTCTATCTATTAACTGTGTTGTAATGATCACACCGTAACAAGGTTAATAGTAGATGGCAGCGATAGCATCCGTCATACATCTCGTGTCATGCCATCTCATCCGTCGTGTCCTACGAATGCAGGCAGTGGCTTCGGAGCTTTGGGGATTGCTTCGTGCAACGACGCGATCTTCACGGAGGCGGATGTTGCTGCGGCTGCGCATGCTCTCGCCGATGGAGTCCGTCCGGCCATCAGTGAAGAGCAGGCGGCCGTAACCGATCAGAGTACGGGTGATCAGACCCAGGGCGACCAGGCTCTGGACGGTCAGGCCGCAGACGATCAGAGGGCTGCTCGAAGCGACGAAGGTGATGGCATCGTACGTGTCAACACGGGCACGGGCGGCCGCTTGGACACCCTTCGCTCGGGTGGGGCCAAACTTGACCCATCTAAGATCTCTGGAACTAAGAGAGCTAGATACATTAAATTCAGAAGGTGCATTACCCTGTACCTGAACTCACTCAGGTTAAAGTTTGAGGATCCTAGGTCATGACCGTCGTGTCAGATAAGGACAAACAAGATCAATCTTCAGTTTGGTATCCAACGTGCCACTAGAACCTAGATACCTGTTCTAGGCAAGAGGTCACATTCTCATTTCAGGTCAACGACCTTGTTTTACCTTTCGAAAGTCATGGAGACCAACAGCATGCAAGACTGCTTCGAGCTTTGCATGTGAATACACGACAAAGATTACGTTAAGCAGTATGTTCCTAACGACAAAATGTTGACCTGCATCATTTTAGGTCAGTGACCTATTTTGATCTTTAAGAAATCCATGGAAGATGCATGATGTGGTTCCTGTTATTAATAAATTCGAAATAAGCTTCAGAAAGTACCTCATATAGCAAGACTTAGAGCAAAAAAAAAAACAGATTGATTTTGACGTTGGTCCGAGATTCAAAACTGACCTTAGATCAATGTAATCAATTGTTGTATTACCTAAGAAGGTATCTCAGAAGTGTATGGCTTCGCCTAACAGTCCGAGATTGCATCAGATCGAACGATTCCCTAGAACTTCACTCCGCAGAATTCATGGCTTGACTTTGACCTACCGTGGGTCAATGACCCTACAAAAGGACATCGAAACTGTTAAAACTGAACGACCAGCCATTCCATTGTCTACAGCCATGCCAAATTTGGCGTGGCTGCGCCGCGCTTTTCGGAAACATTCTGGAAAGACCTTCGGGGGGGGGTAACTTTGACCCCCACCCGAGAGCGTGTTAATTCACATTTTTCACACGTCAAAGTGCCATGGCAACTAGAAGAGCACGCAGCAGAAAAATGGAGGTAACGGCTGGTGAAATCGGCCGGCTACCAGCAATACCAGTGACAAGCCCACGTGAGATTACGAGGCGGGTTAAAAGGCAGAGCTCATCAATTTCCATCAGCTCGCCCATTAAGCGGGCCATTCCCGAGAAGCGTCGCTGTGGGGAAAGCAAACTCATAAGTTAAGCCAAGAAAAAACGCGCTGCTGAGAAAGCGAAGACCATGGTGCAATGGTGCAGGGCATTTGAATGTTCTGTGGAGGAGGTGTAAACGAAAGAAATGAAGTCTAGATCCAGTGCAGCCAGTGCGAAACACGGTGTTAATAGGAATGTTCTAGAGGTCATTCTTCCGTGTACACTTGCGCGTGATGCAAGCACAAGGTAATCAGCCTGTAATCTGCGGTGGAATTGATCCCATTTTGGTTTCATTACACATAGATAAAAGCTGTTATATCCAGAGGACCACCTGTAGTTCTCGCTGGTGGTTTTAGCAGCTGTCCTTTTGAGTCGTGCTAGCATGGTTTGGAAAAATAACTCGGGACAAAGATCGACGTGCTTGGCAGTATTTCGCGAACACAGTGGTTTTCTGGTACAGGGACGAAAATCAACGATGATGCGCCTGATTGGGCATGACAATCTTGGCATTGCCAGCATAACGCTTTTCCGAACGAATTATCAGGCCGTGTCATGCCAGAGATGATCAGATTTTATGCCGTACATCACCCTTCTTGTATCTTAGCTGTTTGTGGGAACGAACTGCATGAGGCAGCTATGGGCAACTCTTACGATCACGCGAAGCGCGCCCTTCTAGCCTTAACTGTAAAAATGCCGATTTTGACTGATACAAGCTGTATAACTTCACAAACTGTTGGCTCTGATCATCTTGTAAGGCATCCTCACTGCCAAACTTCATTTCTGTGTTAGCGCTATGTTTATCCCAAGATCGAATTTGACCGACTTTGTCACCTGCTAGAAGATCGGGTTTGACCGATTTTGCCACTCACTAAAAGATCGGGTTTGACTGATTTTGTCACTCGTTAGAAGATCGGGTTTGACTGATTTTGCCACTCGTTAAATCGCATGGAAGCTGATTCACGATCGCTCTTGCAGGCCGCGTAAGATGCATTTTCCTAGTCTAAGCGCCCGCAGGCCGCCAATGTCCATTGCATGCACAAAGTGCTCTCACATTGCTGCTTCAAAGCCCTATTTATTACTCGCCCATAGGTAGGTCATGATCTCACACTGGTTATCATCACTAAATGGGCCTATAATATCTTACTGCATGCGCTTCCCAATATTGCGCGTGGCACCACGTAGAATCGTACGCAGCACGAGCGTCACCAACGCCCCACCGGTGATCCACTTCAGAAGAGACACGGTCATATGTTCTCTTTTTTGTGGGCGCAATGCAATTTAATTGCGCATAATAAATATTGCCAGTAGCTCAAATAAGATGCAATTATCTGCGACGTGAACTCTTGAAAAGACGAGAAACAGATCGGGTTCCCTTTTGCACAGTTCACGGACTTCTCGCTCTATAAGCACTTGACAAACACCTTATTGATGTACGCAATACGGGCAATGTAGGGACTTTTCACCCACGCGTGATCACATGCATAATGCTAGTCGTGCTCCAGAGGCAAACCTGCGCTTGTTCACAATAAGCTGTGTCTTTTCGGCATCAATCAAATGCTCTGTCAGTCGTCTTCTGTGCAACATATCGTAACTGTTAAGTAAATACTTACACACCACCGATCTTACATCACCAGCGGTGTTGCGGTACATTTAGTCCCATGAAAAACATACTCAGAGACGTTGGGTCCGACGAAACCTTAACCGAATGAGGGAATCCCTCGTCCTCCCCTCGGAATGTTGGGTCGGTGCTGTGATGTCTTCTGACGTCGGCAATACTCGTACTAGGGGCGCAGCTTTCCCCAAAATATCAGCGCAAAACCCAGCCCGTCCCGCCTGACTAGTGATCACGCCCGCAAAAGCCAGCTATGGTGCGATGCTGATCCGTCATTAACCCGCAGGTACAAAGTTATTGCAATGTACATCTTATCATTTTACCTCAAATCTAGACCTATGCTTTCCCAGTGTGCTTCAAATGGCATGTAAGCGCCATCCAATGAGTAGCATGGTGAGGGCATCACCAGCCATATTGCTTAGAGAGCAGTAATCAAAGTGCCTGCATAATGAAGCTTATGATGCACCAAGGTAGATATTAAACAACGTCATAGCAGTTTTTGACTAGAAATGAAAAGGAGGAGGGTGGAAATTAAATTTGGATGGATCACAGATCATTTCCTTTAAAATTGCATGCGTCAACAGATAGCTTTTCACCGACGGAGTAAAAAATACTGGATGTTTCAATTAATGGAAAGTGTCAATATAGTATTTCTCATTGAAGAAACAGCCAGCCTACCGTACAATGTTTGCTGTTTTTAAGCGAGTACATTATGCAACACACAACAGATAAAAACACACGGTAGCTTTGAAACGCTTCACATTTCGCTCTTACTCCACGCCTGGCCAGAGGAGTTCACTTCCCCGCTACGGTGCTTCGAGCACAGGTCAAAAACGAATGCTGGGAGCGGCGTGAGAATTTCAGTGTCCGTACATCTATTGATCTGGCATCATTTTGCAAAGTTGAGGCTTTGCTCAACTAATATCAGTGAACTAGGTCAGGTCAAAGAGGTCAACATCTAAAAACTTCGATCACACGTCGCTTCAGTGGGTAATTTGGCGTCGTTAAAACTTGGACGGTAGTAGAACTTGATAGTACCTACAGCTTGCAAATTTCAGATTTTTTGGGAAATTCGAGGTCATTCAACTGAAAGCAGGTCAATTGTTGCTATTTTACGTAAGTATTACAGGCTTGTACGTTTTCATGTGCAGTTTTGGAAATTTATGTGAGGAGAAGAGTGCTAACTTATATGCATAACGATCATATGACCACAGGCATATGACCCTTTCCCCGGTCATGGCCTGTCTCTGTGGGTACCTTCTGCAAAAGACATGCCGAGCTCAAAATATGCAGTTTTTAGGTAATTTTGGCCGCATAATTTGAATACTCCACTTAGAATGTGTTGAGATAAATAATAATGCATTATTTAGGTCAAAATATGTCATGTAAGTTCATATGAAGATATCAAAGGTCAATGGCCTATGTTGCCAGTAACGAGGAGCCTAGATGAACGAGTGTGATGCGTGTAACCACCTAGCTATCGTGTTTGTGAAACTGCTGAAGTATAGTTTCAAGTACCACCGTTCCTGTTCTCAGCTTGTTACAAAAACATTGTCAAGTGTCGAAGGGGCTGCACATAATGTAGTTAACAGCCATGCGATCTCGAGTACTTGTAGATGTCTGATACATTATTTCTGATCACGGCATAGTATTGAGCTGGTCACATAGACCCGATTAGCATCTAATGCTTTTATTTGGATGTTTTATAAATTTGACCTAAGTTGACCTCAGACGAGATATAGGTCACCATAAAATGGCATTACTGTGTCTGGCATGTTTTTCCCCACAGCTGCGCCTAATAAAATGCACTTAGTCGTTGAGAGAAGTAGTGAGAAGTATCGTTGATGTAGGCTGCTGCTGGACCAACTTTAGGTGGTGACCTAATCTGACCTTTGTAGGGCACATTGTGAAGAGAAGTATTGTTGTTGTAGGCTGCTGCTGGACCAATTTTGGGTGGTGACCTAATCTGACCTATGTGGGGAACAAAAATGGTCGAAATGAATTCCCCAAAGTCTTTATGTTTATTTACGTGGTCTCAACAAACGTTTTGACGTGTTAAAGTTTTAGCTGCATCCATAGGAGCAACCGTTGTTTTTTTACTTTTCGTGGTCTCTGGTGACCTCTCATTTGACCTGAGGTCAACAATTTGGTATGCATTCCGTACTATTTGGCGAGAACTTGAAAATGATACCTTTGTTTTTGTCATTTAGCGTCTGGAAGTTGGAGATTCCAGGAAAGAAGTCAATAACCCACCGGCCGGGCGCGGTTGTCTCAGCCCCTCCCCCTCCCCACGCCGGGCGCGGGCTACCAGTATCCACTTCCCATCCCACAATCAACGCCGTGTCGCTCGTGTGACGCGGCGTGAATGCAAGGAAAGCAAAAACATTTTGCTTACGAATATTTGCCGCTCTGGTGACACCATTGACATTTAGCAACATCATAAAAACCGTGGCATATTGTTGAATGGTGCAGAAAAGCTTCAATGAAAACAGCCAAAGTTGCAAGAATGATTTCCAGGACATTTTTAACAGTTCACATAGACTGCAGACTGCAATTTTTGATTTCTATGGAATGGTTCATTGACTCCATACGCTGAGATGATTTTTTCACACATAAATGCATACAGATATAAATATTATAAAAATGAGCAAGTCAGACAAAACAAAGCCTTCGTGAAAAAACACGTATAAAACTGTAGCAATTGTAGTAAGGGCGAACCGTATGTGTGGGGGCCATGTAGTCGTGGTCAGAAATTGCGTCTTCTTCATACGGACAGAAACAAACACTGCCACCTCCGTTTTCAGTTGCGACAGCTGTTGAGCATTTGATGCGCCAGTAACTGCTGGCTGTATTGACAAGTAAGTAAAAGAAGGACAATGATAGCCTCACAGTCTCCCATACGTTTCGCTGGTCATGGATATCGACTGTGATTTGTGAGGCACGGTTTTTGGGCTAATCAAGAAAGGTTGAGGTATCACGCCCTCACAATAACAGCCAAGTGCACTGTGTAGCTGTATTTATATTAAGGGCCCACCGAACTGCTGCTCAGTGACATCAGGCTTAGTTTTTCTACATTTTGGTCATTCTTGAAATTGTCAGTGACATGTTTGCTGTTTAATTTGCGCAGCCTGGTTCACTATTGTGCCATGCCTGCCATGGGTTATCGGTGACTGGTGCTCCTGCTGTAAAAATACAAATGTGTTTATGTCATCAGTGTTTTGTGTTTGGCAGCACAATCTGCTTTTAGAATAGATTTAAAGATTAAGGAATAGTGGATGCACAATTTCACCTGTTCAAATTTTTGTCCCGCAAAGCCCGGCACGACTGCCCATAATCCAGCCAAAAGCCCGCGAATTCTTGCGGATCAGAAGCGGGCGGCTTTGCTGGCTGAAAGTTGCATCTCCAATCCGTACCCTAGTGGCCAAGCCGGAAACAAATATCACACGTTGAGGAGCGCCGCAGAGCTGCGGACGTGGTGCGGTCGCCATCGACGTTGTTATGTCACAGCGTTGAGATAAGCGACCGTTACAGTGTGCTTGACTGGTACTGATGTTCTCGTTCACATATTAATTGATGCATAATAAACGCGACACTTCTCTACAAGTAAGATCCCTCCTTCCTCCACAAAACACGGCACACGGACTGCGACAGCTGCGTCAAAAAACCCTGAAGCTCTTTTTATTAGGAAGAAATTAAGGACACCGGCTGGGTATACGTGATGGACAAATATGACTTCATTAATGAGTTTCGCCGATGTCAGCGCGGCCGACCGTCAACCTGGGCACACCTCCACACTGCCGGCTGTACCAACAGATGTGGTCCCCTAGACGAAATGACTTCCTCCAACACCGACTCTAAGTGAATCCCATGAATGACTGTCTTTCTCTTTGGGTCAACCTGCGTAGGGAAAGGGAGTGGGGAGCTCCTGAACCTCTCGCCGCTCCAGCTCTCTTGCCACCGTCCTGTCGGATTTAGCTCGGAATGGGCGTTGGTGATCTTGGTGCGAATGCATCATTGTGGGTTATCACTGTCCTGTCTCTGTTTTGGGACGGCACATATTGGACCATGCACCACAAGCCCCCGTCTTCCTTAGTAAAGTTGTGCGGAGTGCGTACTGTTTCTCCACGGTTGCGGTAATCACGCTCTCGATGAGGTACGGGCGTGTTGGCTAGACTTATTTGACACCAGCACCTTCTTCTCCCAGTACACAAAGGGGCGCGTTCATGGCATTCTCTGCTAATATGTTTTACATTCCGCCTCGAAGACCAAGGGATACCAAAGCTTATTTTTTGCTAAGGTCGGGGTGTAAAGTTGGCTAGGAATACTTGCTGCGAGGGGTAAACTCAAGGCTGCTACAATCATGTGAAATAATCGCATCACCATTCAAAATTGACATGTTGAGACACTTTTGTCTGATATATATATATATATATATATATATATATATATATATATATACATATGCATATATACATATATGTATGCATGTGTGTGTGCAAATAGATATATACAAATTTGCATATATACATAAATGCATATATATATAATATATATATATATATATATATATATATATATATATATATATACATACATGTGTGTGTGTGTCAAGCTAAAATCCGCAAAACGGTTATTGTTTGTCTGAAATGGTCGTCGGCTTTTGGCAGCTTTGAAACTGCCACATCGAGATCTAGCGATCTCTGAAATGCCAAAACCTGATGTGATAGAGATGGCTGCGATCGACCCACCTGCCTGGCTACGTGCACGTTAAGCCCGTTGCCGTGTTTGCCGGTGACTACCTTCACCCCTCACGATCGCATGGGAAACATCGTTCCGCATCTTTATCCAGCAAAACAAAGATTGAGGTAGGAAAATGACACTCAAACTTTACCTTAGTGTTCATACACGGACTTGATTTTAAATCGGTCTTGAGCTAAAAATCCATGGACATGGGCTTGTGTAAGCTGATCAGTGGACCTGGAGCCTCGCGCTCAGACACAAGAGGATTCGGAATCCATTTGGGAGGAGGTTTCTGGACGCAGGCGCATGTCTGTTCAGGACAGAAAGCTTCAGGTACTAAAGTCATTTGGCTTCTGGTCTATGTATTAAAGCATTAAAGAGCTGCAGAGAAGCAGGCCTGCGCCAGTGTTATACAATTATTTCACGCATCTAAGTCAGGCTTGTAATGTGCCGCCGGACCGTCGTAACACCTGGAGTCAAATGCTTCATGACGGTAGCTTCCTCTTGTTCCGTTCACTTGAAGTTGCGCCGGTTCACTTGCAGCGTTGACGGTACTCTCCACGAACAGTTTTTGAATTTGCTCTATGGATTTCCCTTTCGTGTTTGGCAGACAGAAAGTCGCAAATAAAAACATAAGCACGTGCATGGCCGTGAAAAACCAGAACACTCCGTACATACCTAGGCTGGAGACGGCCAGTGGGAACGAAAACACCATGGTGAAGTTGGCCGTGCCGTAGAAGAGCATGCACACGCCACTGAGCTCGGCACGGATGGTGTTGGGCAGAAGCTCCGATAACAAGACGCTCATCAGGGGACTGATGCCGGCGGACATGGAGCAGACGATGACGAGGATGGCGACGAGGGCGATCCAGCCGTAGTCGATCAGCTGTTCGCTGTAGTAGAAGTAGCAGCCGCAGACGAGACAGGCTACCGCCCCGAGCACGCCGTTTATCTTCAGCAGCGTCTTTCTTTCAAAGCGCTCCATGATGACACTGAACAAGATGGTGGTGATTGTGCGCGCGATTCCCACGAATATGGAGCCAAGGTAGGGGTTTGTGAAGCCTCCCACGTCTTTGAAGACAACTGGCGCGAAGGCGGTGGCCGTGAACGCACCGGAGAACACAAAGAAGACGTACAGGGCAAGGATCAAGGAAAACGGTATGAGGTTGTGCCGGTGCTTAAGCTGGAACAGCACCTGTAACGGTGTTGCGTCGTGCTTGTGCGCCTCACCGAGCGACTGCTGAATTGCTTCAATCTGCTTGTCGACGTTATAGTCCTGACCGTGGTAGAAGCGCATCGAGCGTTTCGCCTCCTCCAGCGAGTGTCCCTTGGAGATGAGCCACCTCGCCGAACGCGGAAGCATCAGGGATGTCAGGAACTGTAGTGTCATTGGCGCAATGCCAATAACCAGACACGTGTAACGCCAACCCAGCAGCCACCCGAAGATAAAGGTACACGTGATGCCCAAGCAGCCGCTCACGATGAGCAAGGTGGTCAGGTAGCCACGTACGCTTACGGACGAGATCTCGCCAACGTGGGTGACCGAGAGCCCGCGACAGACACCGATAGAAACACCGACCAGCATCCGGCCAGCCAGGATGACCCAGAAGCTGTCACCGAACGCCATCAGCAGCCACCCGGCCACCACCAGTGGCGAGAAGACTTGCATCACGCGGACCATGCCCAGCAGCGGGTTGACGTAGCTGGACGCGATGAAGCCCACCATGGTGCCAATGGTGAAGGTGGACACGATCCATGAGACCTGCGAGGTGGGCAGCACCGGGTCGGCGCCTTCCGAGGTTAGCTGCTCCGTGAAGACGCCGCTGAAGGCCATCGACGCCGACATGTTGAAGTGCGTCATCGAAATCGAGAAGGCCGTAATGACCTGTCGGCAACAGAGACACAAATCAGGGACGAGCACAACACGATGGACGCTTTTACAAAGGTCACACGCAAGATTTGGAGACGACCTTGCAAAGCATTCAGGAATATGCGCAGCGTGAATGAAGTATGGGGTGGGGAAAGAAATGAAAAAAGGAAGCATTGCATGTCGTCTTAGCTCAAGTTACTAGGCTCAAGTTACTACACTAGTTCACTAGGAGTCACTACATGAGCTAGTAGTCACAGTCACTAGGAGTCACCAGCTCAAGCCAGTTGGTGGCATTGAAGAGGTATAACAACAAATGTGACGTTAATTACGTGCATATTCGCATGTACACGGAAATGTATGCTAATTTACAAGCGTTGTAAGATGCTGAAAGCATTCGGCTGACTGAGAGCTGAACTTTCGTGAAAACGCCCAGAGCCTAGTCAGCATCACATAAGTAAGGACAATCAACTCTGTTCTGGCACGCCCATTAAAGGGACGAGAAAAACGGCAACAACGCTTCGTAAGGTTTCATTTGTAGTACTGTGCGGTATTTGCGCACCCTGACCGTCAGAGTGGCCCGGACGCTCTCTGCATCGCTGCGGAGTTACGGACTTCGCGTTTACACTCTGGTTATAGTTCCACGTTAGCCTCGGGCACCCACCATATCTTTGGTGAACCGGGGTCTGGGGACCTGGACCCCGAACACCACGTGATCTCACCGATACTCCCGGTCCCTGTTCCTTGTTCCGCGGGGTATGCTGAAAATAGCCCACCTCACTGCGATGGGGCAAGCGATCCTTGCCTCGTGATTATCCCGACCGAACATTTGTCCTGTTACATGCCCGATTGCCAACCGTCCAGATTCCAACAACTGTGTGCTCTTCTTCACGTCGGCGGCAGGTTCGTCTCCGAGGGCATGTGTGCATTCCCCTTTCCGCCTCCGCCGGGATGAGAGCCGCAAAGTTAAGGTGGCTGGGTTTGGTCCAAAGCTCTTGATATTACTAGATAAAGTAATATGTTGTGTTTCTACAGCGCATGTCCGGTCTGGTGATGCCATTGAACCAATGAGCCGGACGCAGCCATGAAAGCCTCGCCTGACCAGGAGGATGCCCGATTGCAAAGGCTGAAGTCCCCACCAGGCCAAGAGAGGGCTTATTCAGTCATCTAAGACTCAGCGTTTTGTTTTAACGTAATGAGCAAACGCGAGGAAAATTTATTACGCAGGACCAGAGACACAATGCCCCTCACATCTGTTTAAGAAGCCTCTAGATCTGCTTGTCGTTTGAAGACCAAGTTGGTGACACCGTCCGTGCCCTGTTGCCGATTTTCTAGCGCCGGTGACGGGAGCGGGTCAGAGGCGGGTGTTACCTGGCACGTGGAGAGCGTGGTCACGGAGCGTGACCTTATGATGTCTTATGATGCTTATCGCGTGCTGGCAGGCGGTCGCCGCCCTGCGCGGCTTCTGCATCGGGCGGTGCCTGACAACCGGCTTAAAATGCGTCACGAATTTGTCCGCGCACGCGCAGGGCCACACGCCATCGGCTCCCGCCAGAAGACGGCCTTGCAGCCGCGTCTGTGAGGGCAACGGTCGCTGTCTCGGTCGTGGTGGCGAGCCACCAGGGTCTGCGACTGCCCCACCATCACCCATGGTCGCACCCTCCTAGCACCCTCCTCTCCAACATTCTTGGATTGCGCCCTCCTTCGGTCATCCGCCCGGTGTGAATGTCTGCCCAGGAACTTCCAGATATAGGGGCTAGCCTAGCTCGTAACCCATTGCATAGAGGTACCTATGGGCTTACTAACCTGTAAAATCCCCTACCAGCCGGAACCCTCCGGAAGCTCTCTTCAGCCATGATGACCCTGAACAACACTAGCGTGTTTGGTTTTGATAACCTTTTTCTACTGACGCTTTCGCGCTTCCGGACACGTGCTTCTACATCCATACATCTCTTGTAATGATTGTTATCAATGTTATCAAAACCTTGTTATAGATATCAAGATGTAATAAAGCCATCTCTTCTGGATGGAGTTTTTTCTCCAGCGGGCTGGAAGACTGCATGCGCAAGGCCGCCTTAAGTTTGGTGACCGGAGCGTGCGCTGCACGTGCAGTCTAATCAGTCGTCTGTCGGCCCGATCTGGGATTGCCGAGAAAACGTTGTGCAAACAGCTGCTACCAATCTCTGCAAACGTCACGTCTTTGTCCGATTTTTAATATGCGTAAAGAGCAGCTCATTCGGGCGAGAACGCGTCGCCTGACGTTGTGTGACAAGTGACTGGAAACGCTGGTATTGGTTTGCTACCGTAATAACGGCGTTACATCTGCGCAAAGTGCTTGAAAGCGTCCAAGATGGCATCCTCCTCATGAAGGTTTGATAGTATGGCAGTGTACCAGGCCGGTTTTGCAGCTGTTTGGAGCGACCGATCACAGGCAATGGTGGTGGCAGAGTACGTGACCTTTCCAGGGGCGCAAAGCATGACGCATTTACCTATTGTTGCACCGGATATTTCCACTTTTCATCAGTGGCATGGCCTGTGACATCCAGATGGCAGTCTAGTATCGTGTGCAGGTACTCCCCTCCGCCACTGTTGATGGGACTTTTTACTTAGATTACACAATATATATATATATATATATATATATATATATATATATATAAACAATCGCTTTATTACATACGCGCCTACATGAGACTCAAGACGCTTCAGTTTTTGCGCCGTGCGAATTCATTTCAACTTCAGACCGCAAACGCCCACTTCAACAACATCGAATCGCGGCCTTCAGTTCAGTCGGCAGATATTTGACTCCCGTCATATCGGGACCACTGACAGGCTCTCAGACACTATGAAAGTACTTGGCGTGATGCGTCACACAATGCTCGTCTTGGTTACTAACGTCTCTGAGGTGGTAGAGATAAGACGCTGTGTTTTTGTCGCTCTTCTGCTTTCGAAAAATCACAATCGCTCTTAGGTCATTTTCAATACGCCGGCTTTTCTTGCACTTAATTTACTGCCTGACGATTTAGGAAGCACCAACATACCTACAGCTGGACCGTGTGCGCAAGACCACGAATGTTACAGGATGTTAAATGTTCCGTAACATTCGTTCGTAACAGCACCCCTCGTCATCGTGAGAGTTTAGAATGGTTTATAGCCTAGGACCTCACCACTCAACGCGCCCATCGAGGCCAGTGCGTAAACACGGGGGTGGGGGCCAGGGTGGGCAGCGAGGTTTGAAGAAATGCGGGACGTGGCTTATGAACATGGCTCCAGACTCTTTGTCCGGAGCACTACCTGCCTGTGAGGGACAACGAAATTCTAGGTGGGTAGGCCTACTCAGATTCTTTGCTTGCTTAACTTTGTTGAAAGTCCTGTTTGTAAGTCCACGGTCTTGTTTCTCACCTGCATTACCACACCACGTCTTCTGCTTTGTTGAAAGTCCTGTTTGTCAGTCCACGGTCTTGTTTCTTACCTGCATTACCATACCACGTCTTCTGCCGCGTCCTCCTCCGGTCATGCTGATGGCACTGAGTGAGTCACCAAGAAGAATTCGGATGAAGTGCTTACGGATGTACTTTCACTTGTAGAACAAGACACCCGACGTGATGGCGCGCCCAAGAGCACCGGGCGTAATGAGAGGCCTACGGCCAGGCAGCCTGTTCCGTCCTCTTCAGCTTGGCGCGGTCTGGTGTCTGGTGTCTGGTGTCTGAGCCTGGGCACAGACACCGACCGCGCAGTGACCGGTCTGCGAGTGTTTCCAGGCAGGAGCGGGCGCCGCCCGGCCGGACCAGCCCGTCGCAGCGCTCCCTTGACATTGGGTAATCGCCGCTGCTGAGCTGTTGGCAGTTACTGGCCAGGACGGGCCGCGTGAGAAGGAAGGACGGGGAGGTGGAGCCTGCACCCTCGGACACGGTTGGTGATCGGTCCACATGGGCGGCGCCAGCCAGCGATAGAGCGGAGCATCCGACACAGTTTGCATGGCATGATTGAATTACACGTCGAAGTTCCCCGGGACAGTAATCGTGACGATAAGACGTACTTACATGACTGTGCGTAGGAACTCTGGTTTAGATTCGATAGTTGCGATTTCTCATCTTGAGAAAATCTTAAATTTGCCACCAGGTTTTGGTACGTATGTCTCATGTTCTTTCATGATACGAAGAAATGCAGTTTGAAACCGTTTATATTGTTCTTGAGCAGTGCATCATCAGAATCTTTGGTGTGTATCTTGGCGTTGATATAGCAAAGTCCATAATCTTCACTGCTCCAGTTTCACAGTGATATTTTGAAATTAGTGGGCATGTTGACATTCTAAAAAAGGATAAGCTTAATCACTTTTTAACCTATAAGTGAGGTTGGCATGGTCATTCACAATTGTCACCACTGTTAATGAAGATTTGAAAAGGACTGACTGCACTATCATCTGATGTCAGCATCACATCTGTCGCACGAGAATAGGTATATTGTTTGATCCGGTAAGTTAGTGCCTTCTAACATCTTAGCATGTCAGTGAGAGCGATATGGCAACCAACCAGAAAACATTTGTTTACTGTCAATGAGATCGCTACCTGAAATAGTAAAAGCTCAACTTGTTACCTCCCGCAGATCACGTCGACCAAAGATAAGTTCTCTGTAATATTTTTCTGGTTCATCATTCAAGTGAAGGTACAAAACTTAACAACATACATGAGGCATTGTTGTTAATAAAAATCTGGTCATGGCCTGCAAACTGACAGTTTCTGATACGACCTTGTTGGATGCGGCCGGGGAAAGTCACTACTTGGGCAACTTTCACACATTTGAGAGACTACGGGATTGCTGCGGGCCAGCCACTGCCATTCGAGGGGAGAAGTCCTCCTCTGTCGTTTCTGACTGACAAGAAGCCTGCAGCGGCAGCATCGCTTTCGCTTTTAAATGTCACAGTGACCCATCGCCGAAGTCTATTGAAAAAGCGTATGTGGAAATAAGTCTTTCCAGATAACATGATGCCCCAGATGTGGACCAAGAAATTGCCACAT